CTGTAGAATCTAATAAGTCAGCCTAAGACTGACAATTATTTAAAATAAAAATTGAAGTCTCATAGAACCAAAATTAAATGGAAATTTTATGCCAGTATTTTTTCTTACAAATAAGTGAATTGTTTGTTTGGCCAGCTGTGAAATGCATGGCGCGAAAGTAGGTTGGAAAAAATGCACCTTTCTTAAACTTACTTGCATATATTTTTTGTCCAGTTCAGAAGTGTACCGCCTGCAATATCACTGTTTTTCTAAAACATTAATGGTTTTGTAGTTTTTCAGCTGCGAATGAAATCGAGGCATAATTACGACTATTTTCCGAACCATTTTAGTAAGATCTGCGATGTCATAATCTACGATATTAGTCTATGTTAGCAAATTCTGCAGCATGGCATCAAAAAGCTTTCTTGTAGGACATCATCTGACAGCAGATTTAATTTTTTTATGTGCCATCAGGAACTTGCTGCAAACTGGACGACAATAGATTTCGCATTATGTGACATTCCAAAATCATATAAAGGCTCTTTCTTCACTTACATTAAAAACCATACACATCACTAGAAAAAAATTAGTAAGAATGTTCTAATTTATGTTATGAGTACGATTTAACGATAGTAAACCAAATCCCACCAAATTTGGAAAAGGAACATTATAATTTTTAATACTCTCATATTTTCGCGACAACTTATGTTTAAAAAAATTAAATTCAAAGTGCCAGCTACCTTAATTGAAGAATAAGATAAAAAAAAGTTGGAACATAGACGCAAGTTTTACTACAGTTACCGTGGTCTACGAAATCTGGCCATGGAAAGAGGAGACTCTAAAAGATATTCACAACGGTGTATAAATTAAATGTCTCTTAACGAAAGAATTTTCAAAGGATATATATATTTTGTTGTTAATCATAAGCCAATGGAAAAAATGTACTTTTTTTTAAGAAAATGTTTGTGTTTATCATTTGTTACAAATTTTGACAAGGTCAGAGTCAGCGGCTAATGTGAAATGCGATTATGGGGCATATACAGCATGTAAAGTGCTCTCGACTATTTAAGGGTTAATAATGTATTACAGTATATTTGCAATTAAAATTATTGTGTAAAGTTTTAGTAAGTTAGTCGACATTTATCCTTACATAATGGATTCAGTATGCACTTTTACGCCATTTTTTTACTCCTGTACTTGCTCTGCGATGTATTCAACACGATTTGTGAACTGTGCGCGTCACTTGCATGTCTCTGCCCTTATTTCGGTAAACAAGTGAAATTTTAAATTAACCCATTCGTTTGTACTTGTAATTACATTAAATAATAATCATAATATACTAATGAAAGATTTTTTCAAGTGTGGTGACTTTGTTTACTGCCTTATAATACTTTAAATTGCTGTGTTTGGTGTCATACGAATAGATCAGACTAAATGCATGCACCTAGGAAGCAAACGTACATTATTTGAACACCTGAGCAGTGAAGGTCGAGACTAGTTACTTGCGATGTAAATAATCTAGATCCAGAATACCAAGGCCCCCATTCCGGAAAAAGGAGTTTAGTCCAAATGGAGGACGTTAACAATGGCTCAGTGCTCTGATTGCGAAAACGAGGCCATTTGGCACGGCATTGAATTTCAGCACTAAAAGGCTTGTCGTAAACTGCTGCTTGGATAGACTTTCAAGCAGACTTTTGTACAGTAACCAGATATGTAAGCCCACAGCTCATTTAGCCCCACAGTGGCTGTGGTTTGTGCTCTGTGTCTCCGTGCCATTGCTTAAATTCACCAGGCGCAAATGCGAATTGGTTCTTCGGACGATAGTGCCTTGAATCATGAATCAGTAAAGGACTTGACTTGGTGAGCAGACGCGAAGTGTCATGCTCAGAAATCGCCTTACTAACTAGGCTCAAGTGGTTTGAGAGCAGGTAAACATACTAGACTCCAGAATGTTGTAAGAAGTAAAGTTAAAAGAACAATCAACTCGAATAAACTAGTTGGACAAATTTGGATTTCCCTTTTGTCTTTGCCTTGGCCAACATCGGCTACGTACCAGGTTATCGCTTCAGTGAATTAAAAAAATAGATCAGACGACAAAGTCCTCTTTATGTTGCTACTGATTTTGAAAGGAAAATGTGCATTAGTATAAAATCGTCAGTGTTTTGTCGTGAGACAATGATTTGAAAAATATGAAAGTGGATGAGCGGAAATAATGGCAGAGTGCATGCCAAAATTTATTTGTGAAACTCAAGCGGTTTTAATGAGTCACGTTATAATTTCCATGATTTATCTAAAAATGAATTCCGACTAACTTTTTCGGCATTCACTTTGAAAATGTGGATGTTAAGTGAACTAAACTTTGACGACGAGCATTCTGCTCAACAGCTCACTCACGCACGCTGCATTGCCGATTCACATCAAACACGTCAGAAAGTGAGCGTCTGATCAGTGTTCTCAAAAAAAAGCCATTTGGCCTAAGAGAACAGGAGAACAATGAATCAGCAATAACCATACGTGAGAGCAGTGGTTTTTGGATGTGGGTCTACCTTAAACGCATAAGTGAGAACAATTCTCCAAACGCCTTGCAAATTGTGGGTGTAAGATATCGATATTGGTCAACAGGACACTGACTAAGACAGAATCGTTCGTACATGGGCTGTGGTCATATTTGCTTCACCTAAATTGCGCTCAATATCTAATTCCCATGGATCATTAATTTGTTTCACGAAAAATGTGCTGACGTGTGCAAAGTGATGTCACCGCATGCTTTCTAGTTAACCTTGGAAAACGCAGATCTACATGGCTAAAAAAAACTCAAAATACACTCGGTTTTGATGAAATCCACAAACATTGCATTGGCATGGATTAAGTTCTATTATCTGTTTGATCCGAGTTCACTCAATGCAGTCCACACGGTTTAAAAACAATCGACAATACATCTCTGATTGAACTGGCTGACTAATATAGCCAGGCTTCTTTTGCTGCATTCCAGATAACCTCATATTTTCGGGGGAAGAAATTGTCGGAATTTAGAACACGTGCAGCCAATTGCCATTTCGCCCTTTGTTGAATCGTAGCGATGTGCGTAGGCGACTCAGTGGAAAACAATATCATGTGACATAGATTGGTGTGCTTTTTACTAGTCGAAAAATAAAATTCCCACTTGGGAGTTTCAACGAATATGAACGGAAGAGGGATTTATTTTGGGTGTTCAGTATTTCAAGCAAATTTCATTCAGGTTTGTTTGGTCTTGACGTGATGATTCTACTCACAGTTATTCTTATTTAAGCTGGTGTCTATTATGAAGTGACTTCATTTGCACTGCGTTGCAACCCTGCTAGTCGACAGTGCGTAACAGCTTGAGAGGAAGGACAAAGCAGATGATGACGAATATGACGATTTATTTACACCTGACCACCCAAGTCTCTTATAGCAGATTGTGTGAATACGTCTACAGAGTCAATTGTAATCGACAATAGATGAGACTGAATCAACTCATAAATAAACTTCTTACAAGAAATTAAGCATCAACGGATGCTTTTTCATTTAGAACGCGGCAGAATCCAAGTATCATCAGACGGGCCAGCTCAGGTGCATTCATGGATCGTTAGATTGAAAAAACAGAGTGCATTTGTCATTGGTTTGCACAAATAGTAACATTTAATAGGAATGCGTCTGAAGGGAGTTCACGAGGGTAAGCAACTAAGGAGACCTACGGCGGGTAAACAAATTCCACCTCACCATAATGTTACCCACAATCATGAAAGCCAAAGTGGTGTTTAAAGCATCTATAAGCGGTGGGTTTTATCATAGAAAGGATGGTATGGAATTGCACTAATGAACATTAACGATTGGTGCTTACTAGTACGTTATGCCCAACCACGTCCTTCGTTGCACGTTTATCCCCTCATCGCAGCATCTCCAAACCAACGTGAACTCCTCCGATTATACAATCCTATGAATGAACCAATTCGACTGCTCGTCCAAACCATTCAGCACGTTGAATGGTTACGAACTCACTGGCACGGAATTTGTCGATGACCCTCATTTGGCACACACGACTTTCATGCAAAGTAACGCAATGCAGGCTGCTCAACGTGGTGTAGGTATTTGATTAACGATAGTGTAACCGCCATCTGCGGTCTTTTGGTCTTCACAGGTATACGTTTAGCCTAATTTAGTCAAAACAATTCGATGAAAATAGCTATAATGAAGTCATTCTCTATTTCGCCGAAATTGACAAAACATTCCCTACTTAAGGCTGCTTCCTGGTCTTCACATTTTGTATTAGAATAATAGTTTTCCGCAACTATCAATAAGGTTGCCATAGAAACTGACGCGCAAAGGAAACTGCAGCTTGTGCACTTGAATAACAGAAAGGCAGTCAGTGAACAATGCCCTGCTGGTTTTTCAGTTGCAGTTTAAAAAATAAATCCCGTTAGAAAAGCTGGATTATATTGGAGTTAGTCCATTCACGAACCAGAGACTCACTCGTGTCGCATTAAGGTGATACTGAGAGAACCCTTAGCCAAATGATACGTCCTATCACCAAGTGCACAAATAAAATTAAAGGCTTGTGATAAGTAGCATGGTTTATGTGATTTGAAATAATAAAAAAGTGAAATGAGAATAAACACGCACTGTCTTGGTTTTAGATTTGATCCTAAAATAAACTGAATTTATATTACACTGCTGCAACATCTGAAGTACACTTGTCTACGGAATCATCACAAACCCCAAATAGTAGTACAATGTGCAAATTTAGTTTGCTGTAGTTGAAATACTCTTTGACATCTCTAAATGGTTACACTAAGCTGCATGTTGTCTAATGCCAACAGGTGGATTGTCACATGCAGGCGGGTTTCCTCCACCTACTGTGACTTCTGGATATAAATTGCGCTGACAAAAACATCACCAAATGTGTGCTGCATTCGGTTGCTTCTCATCACTACACACATCGCACTCATAGAAATCAGAGGTAGTTTTGAGTTTGGCAGTGTAAATTTTGTGTTTCAGAAACTATGCAGAGATCTACCTACCTGCTGGCTCTAATCGTCGGTGGATTGGTCCAGGCACTAGAACAAGAAGACCGTTGTACCCTTTTGGAACATTTCACGAAACTACGTGAGGACGTTGATCCAGAGGCCAAGAACATGCTGTTACTGGTAGGTTTGTAAAGTGAACTTGCTCACTTTAGTTAATATAATCAGAATTTTATGCAGAATCATGGTTATTAGGAGACTTTAATGTGTACAGCTGTTTTGTTCTTTTGCTAGAAATACTCTCTTGACTTGGAGAAATTAGCAGGTGATTGGTTGGCCAACTGCACGTTGCAATTTCCATTTGGCCAACCTGGATTCTATGATGTTGGATACCTTCTAATACCTGGCATCAAAAGTCAGCCAATTACGTTTGACCTGCTGACCAAACTAGGCTTCGACAAACGAGACTGTCGTTATGAGACCACAGAATGGAAACAAGAGTGCATGGCCTATAAACGCGTAAGTTTAGAAGTCGTGTTTTTTTCCTAAAACCAAATGTCATCTTAAATGAATATGAGGCTTGATGTTCTTCAGGCAAATTCAATTGATAACTAGTGATCAGACAGGTATTTCGAGGATAGCTGTTCGACTAGTTAAAAGGAGTAATTCACGGTGTTTTGGTATATATATATCTTGTTATATTTGCTTCGGAAAATGCAGTTTATGCTGCATCAAATTCCATAAAACTTTTATTTCCTTCTTGAGCAAAATTTACTGATAACCACTGCATCAACTTTAATTCAAACCCAATTACATCTAGAAACTGAATTTACGCATAGCCAGTCTTGAAGCCTGCGTATTTTGTGTTGTTTGATATTGAAGGTGATATGGGCGAAAACCGGCGAGGTTGGATGTGCGCTGGGGGAGTGTAAATGGGGACAGGATTCTGACTCCTTTCTGGTCTGTTTCTACAAACCCGCGTGAGTTTACTTTGCTAATATATGGTATATTTAGGAAAAACAAGGCAAGCGTAATGCATGTGTGAATATTGGGGCTGGATATCTAATAAAAGGCTTTGTTGTCTTTTTGACTTCATTTAAGGACATCCGACAAATAATTTGTGCTTTGTACTTTGCAGTTGAATTTGTGAAAAGGGACCAGGTCAAATGTGTACTTTGGTAGTAAAACAAAGATTGGTTTCGGTTACATGGTATAAGGTCCCTTTAAGCCTTTGAAAGCCACATAGACCTTGCATGCGAACGTGCACAAACAACGACGATTGGGACATGAGATTGACGCATGCACATTTGTTAATGCACGTTGACTGATTACGCATTTTTACACATTATTTTAGCGATCCTCTGCCAGAGGGTAGTCCTTACGAGGCGGGATCTAGTTGCACTGCCTGTCCTCATGGAATGGGCTGTTTCCGCAAGCAGTGCGCTGATTTGTCCTCACTCGCATCGGAAACATGCAATCGCACGCCTCCAAAGCAAACACCGAAAACAACTTCGAGTTCCAAACGGCTATCAGCAAGCAGTGTCTTGACTGCCGCTGAACTCGTCTCAATAAGCGCTGCATCCATTTCCATGACGACCATGCACATATAGCGCAACTTGTGAAATAAAGTGACTTGTATTTGCTTTTTCAGTTATCTTGAATGTGACTTAGAAAATAGCCTCTGAAAATGTTGCTTGATCGAAAATGCTACTGCAGATTGTTCTATTTTATGATGACTGAGTTTGATGTGAGCTAGTGGATATCTAGTGGTGTGTGCATTCTCTGAGTTGGTTCCAATGCTTGTGCTGTCTGACAAGTTTTAATTTGGTGTTCCTTTGGTTGTAGAAGTCAGGATTAGTTACCAGGAAAATGTCCGTTTAAAGTGATGCATCAATATTTTAAGAGACTGTGGAGTTAAAGGCAAAGCACAGGATAGGTTAAATAACGCCCTTATAGACATAAAGATTAAGAAGCTTTCTTTTAAACCGTTCGTTTTACCGTCCATTTTACTCTTGGGAACGGCTGTGATTTACACTAGTTTACACTGTGGTTTACACTAGTAGTTGTAGTAGTTTGCAGTAATCAATTCCCTCTTAAATGAACGGAATTTGTGTGAGATAACGGTGGTAATGTAATGTTTAGTGAAAATCACCGTGGTTTTCTACAGTAGCATCACCAGTTCATTTACACACTCAAATCACAAACCTAATGTATCATGCTGGTAGTGCACATCTGTTGTTAAATTCTAATCGCAATCAGGCATTGCGACTGCACAACTCTCCCAGCGTACACAAGCGTATATATTTTCCAGATTTGTAAAACACTTGCATCATAGCTTGTGTGCTTTAATTAAACTGAAATCCTAGAATGAAAAATATCGACTGCTCTAGCATCCATAACGGAAAAGCGTGATTAAGATGTATTCAGGTGTCAGTGTGGCAAGGAAATAACGTGGTGCATGCCTAGAAGAAGCAAAGTCGTTTTATGCTTTGATGTCTCATGAGGTTAAGAAATGGAACTCGAGATGACAACCACGAAAGCAAGTTCGAGATAAAAATAACTTGAGAAACATTTGTGGAAGGATTTGAGTCCGTAGGTAAAGTTGCTATGGGTTTGTGCAACATCTGGCATGCTAGTATTGATTTATTCGTGGTTTTAATGGGGATTTTTACTGAGCTTCCTGGACTGGCTGTGTTAACGTTGAATGTTTTTAAATCACACTGACACTTGATGCACATACTACAACCCCAGAAATAGGTTGACTGGCAATAGTTCATATCTACTGCTATTATATTCTTATCGAATTCAGGTAACCTAAATAGAAAAATTGCACGAATTCATGCAGCTAGATGACGTTGAAAGCACAAGTACCAAAACTCGCACATTTTAAACCAGAAGAGTTTTGTTAGATTCCGAATAAAATGTTTTCGAAGGCACTATGGAATGAGGGTGGCATGTTAATAGTGCAAATCGCGCGTGGGATGAACCAATGTTTTTTTTGCTTATAGGTGATGAGGATAGGTGGTTGGAACACGGGATAACAACCACGATTACAAGTTCGAGATAAAAATAACTTGAAAAACATACGTGGGAGGATTTAAATGCATTGATCAAGTTGCCGTGACCAAGGAATTGTAGAACGAAGGCATTCCCATCAGTTGTTGAACTTTCAAAATGGATGCCCTGGTAAAGTGAAAACTCGACCACCCCATTCTTGGTATCCAGTCGTTTTATTTCTAAGTTGATTGCTTAGTAGGATTCAACCAATGAGTCTTTATGGACAAATAGTTCGTTGTGCTGATCATCAATGCCGATGACACTCTAGGCTTGGTCGAGTTAAGCCCACAGGTGCGGACATTTCAAAGCTAATTGTATCTAACTTACCTCATAAACATAAGAGATTATTTAGGAAATAGTGTGGCGAGAAAACCAAGTGAATCATGCGTGGGAAGAGCTAAGGCGTTTTAGGATTGGACGTTTCAAAGAGTAGAGGAAGGAACTCGAGATAACCACGTTGGCGAACGTGAGGTAAAATAAATTGTGAAACATATGCAGGAGAAAGTTCGATCATTGGAATTGTTCATGTTGTCTAAGAATTGTAGAATCGATAAAAAGATTATGGTATACAGAATGTTTTGCAAGTTAGGGTTTATTGGTTTGTTAACTTAAATGATTTTTAAATAACCTGACACAAATTTTAATCTCAACACGTCCATCAAATTAACAATGTGGAAAACTGGGCACATTACCGACAATTATGAGAGCCACGAAGTCTTCAAGTATCTACAGGAAATGGGTTTTATCATAGAAATGATGGACTGGAATTGCATTCATATGCATTAACGATTGGTACTTACTGGAACGTTATGTAAATGCACGTTCTCCGCTGTAAGTTTATCGCCACATCTCAGCATCTCCAAATTCACACATAACCCCTCGATTATACAAAAATTTGAAGGATCGTTTAGGCCTTTCAGAACATTGCGAACACACCGCCACGGAAATTTGTGATAACCCTCATTTCAAAAACACGCCTTTTATGCAAAGTAACGCAATGCAGGCTGCTCAACATGGTTTAGGTGTCTGATTAACGAGAGTGTCACCGCCATCTCTAGTCTTTTTGGCCTTCACAGGTATCGGCTTTGCTTAATTTGGCAAAAACATTTCGATAAATAGTTCTGCAATTAAGTCGTTCTCTACCTTGCAGAAATTGACAAGACGTTCCCCACTTTTGACTACCTGTTGACTGTGTCTCGACTTTCTGCATTTGTAATGGAACAATACATTGAAGCAACTATCACTAAGGTTGTCATAGCAACTGACGTGCAAACGAAACTACAACATGCGCGTTTGAGTAACAAAAAGCAGTTACGAATACTGAATGTAGTTTAAAATAAACACGAACCAGAGATTCACTCGTGTCGCACTAAGGTGAAACTTTGTATGAACAACAAAAAGGCGTGTTTATTAGAACATCAAGAATTATGAGAGAACCGTTAGCCAAAGGGTACCTTATATCCCCAAGTCCACAAAAGATTGGACAGGGTTCTGATAATTAACATGAGTTTTGACTTTTTGGATTACAATGAAAGAAATGAAGATACACACGCAATGACTTGGCGTTAGATCAGAAGCATTAAGTGATCGCGTTGAATGTCAGCAGCTGCATTATACGATTGCGATGTCTAAATTACACTTGTCTGCACAATCATCACAAAACCCTTAATATTAACATAGCGTACATATTTAATTTGCTTCACTTGAAGCACACTTTATCGGTTCGAAATGGTTACACTAAGCTGCGTGTTGTCTAATGCCAACAGGTGGATTGTCACATGCAGGCGGGTTTCCTCCACCTACTGTGACTTCTGGATATAAAGTGCGCTGACAAAAACATCACCAAATGTGTGCTGCATTCGGTTGCTTCTCATCACTACACACATCGCACTCATAGAAATCAGAGGTAGTTTTGAGTTTGGCAGTGTAAATTTTGTGTTTCAGAAACTATGCAGAGATCTACCTACCTGCTGGCTCTAATCGTCAGTGGATTGGTCCAGGCGTTAGACCAAGAAGGCCGCTGTACCATTTTGGAACATTTCACGAAACTACGTGAGGACGTTGATCCAGCGGCCAGAAACATGCTGCTGATGGTAGGTTTGTAAAGTGAACTTGCTCACTTTAGTTAATATAATCAGAATTTTATGCAGAATCATGGTTATTAGGAGACTTTAATGTGTACAGCTGTTTTGTTCTTTTGCTAGAAATACTCTCTTGACTTGGAGAAATTAGCAGATGATTGGTTGGCCAACTGCACGCTTGAATTTCCATTTGGCCAACCTGGATTCTATGATGTTGGATATCTTCTAATACCCGGCATCAAAAGTCAGCCAATTACGTTTGACCTGCTGACCAAACTAGGCTTCGACAAACGAGACTGTCGTTATGAGACCAC